ACAAATATATTGTGGACAAGTATTGACATACAAAATAGGCGAATGTTCTCACAAGAGGTTATCACCAGAACGGCACCTGACCGGTGAAGTGAAAGTGAAACCACAGACTAAAAACTGAAAAAAGCCGACTCGGCTGCTTCGTGAACATTATGTTATTGACCACGAATAATGCTTTAGGTATTGCTTTTTTTCTATTTCAGGTGTGGGAATATAATATTAGAATAACACACATACCTCAAACAGTTCGTTTAATTCATGTTGTGTGAAATCGATGCTTAACAAAATTTCTATCGACAGCACTCGAGTGTTTACCAATGGCGAATAGACGGTACGAGTTATCGGCCTTGATATTGTATGACACCCGGTGAGGGCACTGCGAAATCGGTAACATATTTTCCCGCCACTAGGAGTCGGCGGTCCCTCCTTGGTTGATTATAGAGCGTGACGTCACGGAGTCGGCGGTCCCGTTAATTTAGGTCTATGGTATAAGTAGGGAATTGTACAGTCGTGATGATCAACTGATGTAATCAGAGCGAGGCTTTAATGCACCTGTTTTATACCTCGTGATAGCAGCGTCGCACTTGAAAATTAGTTAACTTATCCTTATGAACACATATTGGACAAAAGACCGTTTCAAAATCGACATGAGCACTGACAACAGGCTGTATATATATCAAAGCAGCACTGAACATATTGTAACGTGTCAGCCCCGTATAAATGGGTGATTTCAACAGCCGCTGTCTCGTCCCTGCAGCCGATTTGTTTACATATCGCCGTGCGCCTGTGTGACGGGTTTTCACTACATAAATAACACCAATGTCCATTTATTAGTCCAAAATGTGTTTGTATATAAGTTTTAAATGGTGATTATTCAAATTACAACTACAGAACATCGTAGAAATGATTTCTAACTTCCCTGCTAATTTCGTGTTAAATCGACCTCTCGTTAGCATCTCAAACACCTCTCAAGACCGCCATTTTGGAAGCTGACTATGCGAGATGCTCGAAACTACTTACATTGATTCTTTAACTTCCTAGGGTTGTAAGTCACTGTAGATTGATGGACATTAAGTAATTATGATATTTAAAAGAGTATGCTAACATTTTTGGATACTGTTTATGTCTTTTAACGATGTCTTAGATGTTTAGTTAGCCGGAGAGGCCTCTCGGACCTCTCTCGGCAACTCTCAAGCGTTTCGATAACTCTTACCGGCGTCTCACGTCACTACCACAGGGAATTCCCTAGACTTAGTATATTTTTAATCCATAACCTTAGCGGCATTAAATAGTAGTTTTACATGTATTTTTTCAAACCCCCAATCGGCGCGAAGCGCCGCCGGGGTTTGATCTGTTAACACTTTGTCCGCTTCCGGTGCTTCCCCATGCGTGAAAGCCTTCTGGGAAATTAAGGCCGCATAAGATCTACAAAATTATGATAGTAAAGCCCATACGATATCCGTATATATTACATTTTACTAGTGAGATATAATTAATTCTTATTTTAAGAAAAACATATCTTCAATACAGTGAAGATTAACGAAAAGTTGTATCTTCACATGTGTCAAGCGTGACGTCATTAGAACCTGGGGTCAAAAAATTACGCTACAAAATTACGCGCTTTTCTGATGCAGCAATATTTGCGTAGCGTGACATGAATCTAAAATTTAATTGTTTTCCCGTTGAATATTATATATACATTTCACTCATATAAAACGGGTATGTGGTTACAGAAGACGGTTACTATTCTATCCAAGGTCAATGTACATTGTCAAAGTAATTTGTAAAAATTGCGACAGTCATAGATGATATTTTATGTAAATCATGTCAATCTCTCTCTCAGAAGATAACGTTATTACCAAGTCGTTGACATTTAAATGTGCAGTTAAAATGTACATTTGCGTGCTTTGGGACAATTCTGAACGACAAATTTAACGCCATTAACAAATAAATTTGAAGAAAGTATGCAGGATCAGTTCCTTCATCTTCATCTTCATTTTTAACCTTTCCTCGTCAACATTGACGATTACGAAATGGTGGTCTTGTGCTGTAGTTCGTTGTTATGTGCAGTGATTTTTTTATTAATTTGCTATAGGATAAAAACAGGTTAAAAGCAGTGAGTGAGTGTTAGTTATGTTGTAGGTTTTGTATATGTTCGATTATGTTGTATGTGGTGCATGTCCTGAATTCTGCTAGTGTTTCTAATTGGATTATTGTTTTGTGTAGGAGGTTCCACTGTGTTATGTTGATGGAAATAATGTGGTTGTTGCTATATACTATACTATACTATATACTAGTGTATATAAATATTGAGGTCCAGCAGCTTTGCTGCACTTTCTTGTTATACTCTGTAGCATTATTTTAATGTAAAGCACTTATTGTTTGAGCGGATATTATGAGAGGCCGTGTGTGATAAGGTTTTATTACTTTTACATGCAATCCTATGAGAAAGTGTCTCCGGACCTCTCCCGTCTAATCACCAGACCTCTCATGAGTAGTAATATTTGGAAGGTTATAAATACAGGTCGGATCAGACCTTTTTCTTTAGTTCATCACTGTCTTCGCTGGCAGACGGTCGCCTCTGAACAGGTCAGACTTAGGAATCTCTCATACTTTTGGTTTAGTTTTACTGCTTACGTCATTTATAGTTCTATTTATAGACACAGTCATCGACTGCAAGGGGATATCCCGGTATTTGGCTATTTATAGTCTGCTGGTCTGCATATCAGATTATAATTTAGGTGACTTAAAATATTAGGCTCTGGTGATAAGTGGGACATTGTTACAGGAAATACAGTCAATTAGTGTATAATTTGGGAATAGTTGTGTACAATTTGTCAATCCCCTTTGTTATTGTCTGGTGCAAGAACCTGTGTTGATGCCTTGTTTGTATTGTAATATTATACTGATCTGTACTCTGTAAAGATACATCGTTATTTAACTTGTTCCTTTCATAAATTATATTTGTACCTGTCAATTGGGCTCTTGGTTGATATCTAGAGTTTTCGCACAGTAAATTAGACTGCTAGACTATTTCTGACCATTGTTCTCGGACCTGACATAGAGGAGATATAACATATTCGACCGTGATAATCCAGGATCCAGGAAGCACACTATATTGGTGAAACAAGAACCCCATACTTCTTCGACGGCGGCCGGTGAGACGTGGGCACCGGGCGCGCGCTCGTTACAATATAGTCATTTTGATGTTACTGTTGCCTTTCGCGAACAGCACAGGGACAATGTTGTGCAACGAGCTTTTACTGTTGAGTGTATTAGGTACAAGTTGGGCGGCCAGCCTGATGGACACTGACACGTTGTTACATGACCTCTTCACGACCTACAACACCGAGCTACGTCCAGTCAGACCAAGAACGAACTGTCATTGTCACCATTGGTCTTTCTCTTGTTTCTATTAACGATTTTGATGAAAAAGCTTGAGTCATATCGGTTATGGTTGGACTGCTAGTATCATGGACAGACAAAACCCTTACGTGGGACCCTTATACCTACGGTAATTTGACTAATATCACCATTTCACAGAACAAAATATGGCATCCGAATCGTTTTACTACCGATCCTTTGTCCAAAGCTTTTGATGTTGGCCATGAAAAGTTCAAGGTCAAGGTCACATCAACTGGACACGTGACCTGGTCACCAGGAGGGCTATATCGAGGGCAGTGCAAACCTAATGTAAGCAGGTTCCCACTCGATGGACAAACAAATTCAAATAGAGGTATTACCTTACGGATACACTCCACATGAAGTTTCCTTTTCGTTGATATCATCTACCGTATGGTTATCATATTTCCGTCCCAACAGTAAATATACTTTTACAGGTTCTGGGACCCATATAGCGTCTTTTATATCGGATATCGCAGAATTCCGCTTGATGTTAAAAAGAAGACCGATGAATTTCCTGGTTAGTGTAGTTTTCCCTATCATCATGTTGGGTCTCGTCAATCCGTTGGTGTTCATCCTACCGTTCACGTCTGGGGAAATATCGTCCTACAGCATGACCGTGTTGTTAGCCTTCACTGTGTACATGACAGTAGTGAGTGACAAAATGCCGGGATCTTCAGACCCTATTTCTTACGTCTCATACTACATACTGTCACTCCTGGCCATCGGCACCCTCATCGTCATCGCCAACATCTTTCAAATACAGATACAAGAAAAGAATGAGGAACAAGAGCCAGTTCCGAAATGGATTTGCAAATTTCCACTTCTTCTCATGAAGGTAGAAAGACGAGGACAGGTGAAAGTCTATGAGGACTCAAACATCCTGGAAAAGGTCGATACTATCGGTACTAATAGGATGAATCTAGAATCTTTAGATGAAAGACGCAACAGTCAGGAATGATAACGTGGCCAGTGTGCTGTTAACGAGAAATGTTTCGTGGACTATTGTCGCTAAATGTTTAGACACAACGTATTTCATAATCTTTCAGCTTCTTATAATTGTGTCAACTACAATCTTGTTTATATGCAACATGAATACGGATTTTCAGCGATATGTGTGCATTTACCAATACTTGTATATTATTCCAACATCTGAATCTAATCTATTTCATATCAACATCTGAATCTAATCTATTTCATATCAATTGACAGTGAGCATACCACGTTCGTGACTTGTATCTCTACTCATTGAGAATATGTACATTAGGTATTGTACAAATTCACTAATGTATCAATGTGATATGTTGTACCAAAGTTTCACGGACTGATTCCAATATATGCTGCTGTGGTATTTGAAGGCGAAATTATCTTGATGACTTGAATAGGGTTTGCTATCATTACTAAGCGGGTATGTTTGTAGTATGTATGCTTCATATTATCCATAGCAACTGTGGTAATTTAGCTCGAGTAGGCGAGAAAACCCAAATTGACAGATTTAAAAACACTAGCTATTTCAAGTCTTCTTCGAAACAGAACATTCTCGCCGTAAGCTTGACAGGTTTTAAATAGATGTTTTGTTTGTCCGCTAGCAAATCTTCAAACACACATACAAAATTAAATGCGGGTACCCTTATTCGACAAATGAATCCAGTCCCGTGACTCGCTTGTTTACCGGTACATTTGTAGCGAAGGTTTTTGGAAGAGCGTTTGGTCTGTTGGAATCGTCTAATAATCCATGGTTATTAACCAATACAAAGTGTCGTTACATCGTGAAAGTGGTAGAATACTTTACAATGTATATCCTTGATTTAAATGTAATTTAATATAGATCATAATTATATCTTGTGTACAAATATAATTATAATCATTGTACTTATGTGTAGTGCTATTATAATTCATCGTAAAAGGGGGCAAACTAAAGGGAAACATTAGAAAACACAAGAAAATGGGTATACGTTGCACTCAGTGGGGATCTGGAACGTCGAAGTTATCCATTACTTTATCATAAAATAGTATTGTATCAAATTAAATATTCTTCACTAATTCACACTCTAAGAGTGTCTGCATCCGATCGAGTAATAACGGTTAAACAGACCTGTTTTCCAAACTCTTAGTTTATATATATATATATATATATATATATATTTACATATGATCGTAATTTATATGCTTTAGTTTAATAAACAACGTTAATTCTAGGTAATTCTAATATGCAGTTTATAATTCGATTATTGAGATTACTCAAGCACCGTCAGATGTGTAAGCACCCTAGCGACCGCATAATTGGATGCGGCGACTAATGTGGGGCTCCAAAACCATTGATCTGCTGTTTCCATTAAAACACCTGGAATCTTAATTTTTTCTGCTCTTCCCTAATTATGCTTTCATTTGTCATTGTCTTTCAGTAGGCACACATGGTTAGCTGTGTAAAAAGTGATCCCTAAGCTCCCCCGTTATCCGTGTACATTGTCTTCGTATAACCATAGCTGTTAGTAACTGCTGTTTTCAAGGACAAGAAGCTATGAATTTAGAAATAATCAAATACCATAAACTTCGGCTTAACGAATTACCAGGTCACGCCTGTGAGCAGTTGGTAGTAAGGGGTAAGTTTGATTTACATGTAACTTAATACCTCTTATTAAACAAATAGCACCACTGTCAACTGGTGTTCCACACGTAACTTTCTGGTGTATTTGTTCTTACCTAATATAAACTTCTGACGTCATGCAGTGTAATTGCATAAATATTCAATGTTAAATGTACTGTAGACATAGTAGTTTGTATAGAGCTGATCAAATGAATTTTACGTACGTGTATAGTTCATAAATATTACATAATGTACATTCATTGTTGTATGCTCTGCTACACCGTTATAGTACTTAAGAAACTTACACTAGCGTTTGCTATGCTTTTGATCTGTGGAAGGGAACTTTGGCAACGATCTTTCTTATGTGTTTCGTCTTCCCTCCCCCGATAACACGTGGTGTGTACTAATTGCTTTCTTCTGATTTCCACTGAGGCTGGAAGCAAATCCGTCCACGTTATATCTGGTCCACCTGTCCCTGTATATCATAACGGTACATTTGCTTGTAGGATATCTATTTCGATAGAAAACACAGTAGCGAGTATTTCATGAACCATCGGAACACCTCCCGGAATTATCAACAAGACGCCAATGTTCTACTGATGTAAACATATCTATGTCAATAGGATCAGTAAACTATTGAGCTTCAAATTTATGTCGCGACACATAAACCCTCCATTAGACTGTTTGACAAGTATTGTTAAAAGGTTGCTACGAACATAGC